AGGTGCCAGACACATGATGGTCTAGTGGGGAGAATGATTCAGGTAGAAGGTGCAGCAGTTGCAAAGTCCTCTGGCGAGAACAAGCTCAACATGTTCCAGAAAGAGGAAAATGCCCAGTATGGGTGCAGAGGAGGGGAGGGAGTGGGTGGCAAATGATGAGTTTGGACAGCCAGGAAGGCCAGGTCTCTCAGGGCCTTGAAGACAGTAAAGTAGTTGAGACTGTTCCAGGTGCCATGGGAAGTCACTGGAGGGCCGTGGGGAGGGGCAGCTTTTTCCTGAAGGACGAGCACCCTGCAATGCCTTCCTGTTTTTGGTTGCTGCCGCCCTTTTCCCCTGTCCCTCCATAAGACATTTCTGTGCTCTGGGGTTTAAGCCACATGGGCTGTCTGTCCCACCTGTTGGAGGAGTCCTTCCCAGTCCCTGCTTCAGGGCTATGTTTGGGGCCTGGCAGGCAGTAGGTGTAAGGGGAATTGGCCACACCAGGACCTCACTGTGGTCTGGGCGCATCTGCTGGCATTCCCCACAGACCTCCGTGAGGGCCCTCAAACATGCGAGCATCTTTCTGTGTGCCCGTCTGAAAGGAGTGATGTCACCTTCCCCATCGCTATTCTGCTCCTGTCCCTGCCCCAGGCCCAGCTAGGCCAGGATCTATCTCTCCTTTGCTGAGATGGTAGAGCAGGGTTGTGACTTTGAGAGCTGAGGTCACAGCTTTCATCCTCCATGAAAACGCCTGTCGTTTGGGGCTCTGGGTTTGATGTTTAACTCTTCCACTTGATGCCTCTGTTTGGAGACACAAGTGCCGAATCAGGACCACTTTGTCAATCTCTGAGAAAGCCAAACTTAGAGGTTGGAGCTTCAGCCCTGTGTGCCCCGGAGCTCTCACTGATGGGGTCTGTTATTTTTATCTCCAGACCCAGGTCCTCTCTGGGAGTCCTGGCTCTGGATCCACCACACCTGGTCAGTCCAATTCCACCGTTTATCAACTGCCATCCTTGAGCAAGTTGGAATTGGCCAACCTCTCTGAGTCTCCTTTTACTCATCTCTGACACAGGTGTTGACTCATAGGGAGCAAATGCACATAAAGCTCTTTGCACATTTCTGTACCTAATATGCATTAGTGAAAATGAGATGTTCTCAGCCAGACACTGCTATTTTGAATTTTGAAGTTTTTCTGTTGTCTAATGAGATCTCCTGAGCTAGAGGTTTTAACCTTGGGTCTATGACTGAACCCCAAGGAGTCTGAACAACCTGAAATTATTCATCAGACTGGGGCATCTCTGCCTCTGTGCAAATGTACTGGGAGAGAGCCACAGTTTCTGAGACATTCTTAGAGGGTCTTTGCACCCACAGAGACCTAAAGGTCAGTGGAGGCTGATGCTCAGTGGGCAGGAGGTCACCAAGGTCTTTTCTGCTCCTCGAGGAGCCTGGCCTCAGTCAGCCTGCGGACTGTTGGGGTGAAGCAGGAGATGGCGTGGTCAGCGGCGCTCAGAAGAGCTGTAGGAGAAGCCGTCGTGATGAAGGTCAGTCGCTAATCTGATGTGAGGCTGTCCCTGAGCCTTGGCATTTTGTTTCTTTCCAGGCTGCTTCCACTGTAAATGTGTTAGAAACAAGGTCAGGGCTTGCTGGCCATTCTGGGGAACATCTTCCCAGCCTGGCCTATCCCCATCCCCTATACTGCATGGGGACAGGAGGGGGGCTGTGCACTCTGCTTCTTTTTTTGGACTCAGGAATGCTGCCTCCCAGCCATGAGTTGAAAGCTTTGTGGGAGGTTTGGCGTCAGAAACTATAAATTCTGTAGTTTGCTGTGTCACATTCTATGCCAGGAGATGGGGGGAGTGGGGGGGAGTGTGTGTGTGGCACGAACAGCACCAGAACCCTCACAGCCCAGAGCCACAGTGCTCTCAGGCAGGGGAGTAGGGCCTGGGTATGTTGATAGAGTGTGCTCAGGGGGGTGGGGGTCACCGTTTGAGTCTGAGGAGTCCCAAGTAGATGGGGTCTGAACATCGACTTGGAGGAAGAACAGGAACTGACAAGGCAGATGAGGGGAAGGAGGACGTCCCAGCAGGGGGAGTCACCTGTGCAGAAATCACAGTGAGCAAGCTCTTGGCGAATTGTGGTGTGTTTGTGTGTAGAGCTGGATCTAGGCAGGAGAACATGGCTGCAGAGATGGGGACAAGTGTGGATGGCCACCTGCGGAGCCAAGGGGGTTTGGCCTTTAACCCAAAGGTGAGGGTATTGTAGGGGAGGGACATGGCCAGCTTTGTGATTTACAGTGTTGCAAAGTTAGCAGAAAGCAAGCACTGGCCTCAGCCAGAGGACCCGGTGTCAGCACTGATGCACTGGATGACAGTGGAGTCTGACCACGTGGCTGTTGTGATCACTACGTGGAAATAACATAGGAAGGTCAAGCAGGCCTCAATCCATGTAGTTTTGCAGGTTCCTCCCCACGTTTCCTGGGAGCCCCTAAACTGTCCTGTTCCTGAGAGATCTAACTCTGCCCCACCAGGCCAGAGGGCCCTTCTGTTCCTCCATCCCTCCACCTCACTTCCCCCTGCCACTACTTCAGCCAGGTACTTTTAGCATTAGAAAGTTATCACACCATTAAGAACAATATTGAAAAAGGAAAAAACATGCCCGTACTTCCTCCGTCCCACCATGCGATGGCACTTTTCTTGTCTTTGGGTCAGCTTCCAGCCTTAGTTTACCTCACCTTTCGTCTCTAGCTCCCTGGTTTCCTGTTCTATCTCTTTTCATTCCCCCTACACACTTGCTGATGCTACTTCTGATCGGCATACTCCTTTTCCAAGACTTTCCCTGAGAGCTGCCCAACCTTGCTGTAGGCCAAGGGCAGAGGGACAGATGGCCGTCATGCAGTCCTCCAGCTTCTTCCCTGCCCCCAGAACTCCTGCGGCACACCAGGGTCGGGGCATAGCAGTGCCAGGGTGGAGGGGCCAGGATGCAGGGGTAGGGAGCTGTGCTCTGCCTCAGGAGCACCAGGTTTGTGTGTGAGTACAGCCACAGTCAGACTCCTTGGCTATGCGACTAAGACAGCAGCTGAGACTAGGTGTGATCCCGAGCTTTTCCCCACTTGTTGATTGGTTTTTTGGCAGAATGTGAACTAGGACAAATCTTATGTTCCTGTGTAGCAGGCGTGGCTGGATCCAAGCTTTCCCCTCTGCTCGCTTTAGACTTTCCTGGACATTTCCTACTCATCCCAGCACTGAGCTTCTATTTTTAGTGCCACTACCCCCTAGGAGATCAAAAATAAAGCTGGCTTAGCTTCCTGGCCCCTCATTGGCTGGAGTGGAGTCACAGGGTGGGGGACTGCCTGCGTTGTCACTGTTCCCCTACACAGTCCCTCCCTGCTGGTTCCTTGGGCCTTGGGTGAAGTGACTGGGACTGGAATGAGCTAGCACTTACCATGTTGAGCTGAGAGCTTTACCACATCCCCTTAGTCAAACTTCACAGCCACCAGCAATGTCAGGGTTACCCATCCCTGTCTTACAGAGGAAGAGGCCAAGGCCCTAAGAAGGGCAGTGACTTGCATCAGATCCCACCACTGCGAATGGTTGTCTGCTTGACCTCCCCCCTGCTTGGGTTCAGAGTCTTACCATCAGGACGTTGGAGTGGGCTCCTTTATAGTCAGAGACAGCTATAGAACAACACATAGGTCTGTAGTCATGGGATCCGCAGTGAGATGTGGACTTCCCTACCTAGGAGGAGCCTAGCAAAGCCAGAGTGGCTCTCACCTGGGGACTGGGTTTTCCATCCAGCGTCCTTGGGGCCATGCTCTGTAGTTGGGAGGGGGACTCCCCGCCCTCTCAGAGACCCACGAGAGGCAGCCCCTTGGGATGAAGGTAATGCTGGCATGGGGAGACTTGAAGAGACACATTTTTCCCTCACAGCTTCCATTTCCCCTTCCCACACCCCTCAGCTCTGGCTGATCCCTCTGAACTCCTCATCTCTGACACAGGTGTTGACTCATAGGGAGCAAATGCACATAAAGCTCTTTGCGGCTAATTTTTTCTATATATTTTTAGTTGTCCAATTAATTTCTTTCTAATTTTAGTAGAGCGTCACTTACTGTTTTTGTGAGAAGTGGGGCCCAGGCCGGGCGCGGTGGCTCACGCCTGTAATCCTAGCACTCTGGGAGGCCGAGGCAGGCGGATTGTTTGAGCTCAGGAGTTCGAAACCAGCCTGAGCAAGAGCGAGACCCCGTCTCTACTAAAAATAGAAAGAAATTAATCGGACAACTAAAAATATATAGAAAAAATTAGCTGGGCATGGTGGCACATGCCTGTAGTCCCAGCTACTCGGGAGGCTGAGGCAGGAGGATCGCTTGAGCCCAGGAGTTTGAGGTTGCTGTGAGCTAGGCTGACGCCACGGCACTCTAGCCCGGGCAACACAGTGAGACTCTGTCTCAAAAAAAAAAAAAAAAAAATGGGGCCTGAGGGGCCATTGCCCTCCACCGTCACTGGGTCTTCTTCCACTTGCCAGCAAAGTCCTGGGACAGTGTTGGGGACCCAAGGGCTGCAACAGAAAGCATGCCACACGGAGACATCAGTAGCTCCTGGACTGTAACATGGGAAGAACAGTAATAACTGTGGCCTTATTGGTTGTTGAGAGGATTGAATGAGAAGATATGGGGGCTTAGCTCCTACTTCAAGGCCTCCTTATTGGACGTGGAAGGGCCTACTCCGACCTTCCTTTGTGAAGCACACCCCTGCCGTGTGCTTCACAACCCTGGCACCCCTCTGTCTCATCAATAAGGAGCTCCTTAAAGGAAAGGCTGAGTCTGGTCCACCTCTGGGCTCCAGCACTTGTCTGGCTTGGGAGGGGTCTGCTATCAGTTCCCCAGGGCCTCTCCATGTACCCTGAGGGAACAGACCTCAGCAGAGGACTCCCTGCTCCAGGAGACCAGGGAGGGGTTGGGGGGTCAGCGACTAGTCATCTGCTCTTGCAGTACCAATGCTTCCCTGTCTGTCTTGTTGGTCTTGCAGGTCTCAGCGAGGCTGGGTGACGCTCCAGAATGGGAGACAAGCCAATTTGGGAGCAGATTGGATCCAGCTTCATTCAACATTACTACCAGTTATTTGATAATGATAGAACCCAACTAGGCGCAATTTACGTAAGTCTCCAGCTTTAGGGCCAGAATAGGACCCCAGGGGATAGATTTGGATGTTGGACCATTCCATCCAGTTCACAAATTCTGGCAGTCCTTGCTGGACTGGCTACACCTCTCTATCTGAGTTTTTGTCCCTGGGACAGGGGGCCTGAGGCATGGCCCAACTGCCTGGTCCATACTTTTACCTCTGTCATCTTCCATAAGAGTGGGAATCCTGGGATTCTGGGCAGGATGTTCTGGGCTTGCCATTGCATGTGGCCAGCATCTTGTCAGTGCTCATGGTCCTGGGAGTGCCTCTGTTCCTGATTATATAGCAACAGGCAGAGGCTAGGGCTCATGGTGCCCTCTGGGGCCAGTCGCCATGAGTATCTTCAGTGCAAAGCTGAGCTCTCCTGGAGGCCCCAGCTCCAGTTTCCTTTTGGGACCTGAAGCCCTGAATGCTCATGGGAAACAAATGGGCTTAGCCCAGAAAGGCTGATGTGTCCTTTGAGAAACTCTGCTATGCAGGCATTGTTTGCTGCTATTTTGATGATGTTCATATACATCAAGAACTACTTGTACTTGACCCTGCCCTAGATTTGGTCACAGAAATGTGATTGATCCAGCAGGTCTGCCCAGGATGAGGGCGATAAGAGTCTTCTAAGCATAGCTGTAGAGCCTGGCTGGGCTGACTGAGGTCTTTTGTGTCTGCTTCCAAAAAGTTAAGAGTCCATTCAGAAATTTTGAAAAAAAGAAAGGAATCTTACCAATGGAAGACCAAATCCAGCACAGACATTATTTGGTTGTCATTATCATCGTAGAGAATTTTTAAAAACTTAAACTGCTCTGGCTCTGGGGTCCTGGCACTTCTGCTTCATTGTCTCTTAATTAAGGCAGGCCTGACCCAGAGGAGAGAGTTAGCAAGGTCCTAAAGAGCACTTTTATGTTCATTGTTTCGTAATCCTCTGCACATTACCCCTTTGAAGATTAGGAAACTGAGGCTCAGAAATGTAAGTAATTTACCTAATGTCACAGCTGGTAAGTAGCAGAGGCCCTTTTGAGTTCTGCCTCTGAAGGCTGTGGACGTGAAGATTTGGGGGTGCAGATGTGGAATTTTGACTCTTGGTGGTAGGGAGGTCCCAGACTAGACCTTGGGAGGCCTTGTCAGCTTCCATCCCTCACTGACCCCATGGGTGCCCAGGAAGGCTAGTTTGAAGGGCCACTGTGGCACTCAGCCTGAGTTCTGGAGATGGTGATGAACATACAGGATGTTTCCAAGTTCTTTCTGATGACTTCTGTGGGACTGATGCTGACTGATCATGCAGTAG